GCCATTGGCAGTGTTTACGAATTTACATAAAAAAAAAATGCAAAATTTGATAATCAGTCAAACCCCCAGTGGCTTCCTGTATGTATCTCAGGAAGCACAAGCCTTCTTATTGGAGTTTCGTGGGTTTTGGTAACCCTGACCTCTAACATTAGGATCTTAAACTCGTGAGACTTTACCTTCCCTCATTCAAGCTAATTGAGATAGGTTAAGATAAGTGTAGTAGAAGTTCGGCTATAGACTAGGTAACTAATGCCAAGTTTGACGGACGAATAGAAAATCACCTTATGAACATATGTAGTTTCTCCAGGTTAATACACTGTATGATGTATGATGTTTGATCAAATTTTTTTGAGGGTGAAATTCACCGGATGAGGGGAGTAATGTTCTTCATCACGACCTTCTTACACCCTGGTCCTGTTGTAAGGCTGGGAGTGATTAGCGCTACATGATCTGTGTCCGAGATACTGAGAAGGTAAGGGAAGTAGATACCATAACAAGAAGTTGCAGTAGGTGTTGAAGAGGAAGGCCAAGAAAAGGAAATAGGAGCAAGAGGAAGAAGGAAACAAAAGGAGACAAATTTTGGACACAAAGTTTGTTGAAAATGGCTGGACAATTAGTCTCTAAAAAGTACTGTATATGACTTAAAGAAAGATGTGTTATATAATCGTAATATAAATCAGGTTCGTATCCTATTAATTTTGTATGACGCTCTAACTTAACATAACTCAAAGTAAAGGAAAAATAAATGGAAAATGAACCTTGGGAGATTCCGCCCGGGTCGTTCCCAAGGAGGAGAGGGACGAGTCACGAGGTGAACTTTGCATATGAAGGAAGTGGAGTCTTGGAGTGAAGTCTACAAGGCCCAACCTCCTTTTAGTGCAAGAAACTTGTCATTGAATATTGAAAAAAGTCACTTTAAGATATCTATCTATATAATTATATCATCCTTTACGATGTCTGTCTATTATCCTTTATCATCCTTATGAGATGCCTTACCAAATGGGGCTGAACAAGAGTAGGAAAGTAAGATTAATCCATTCATCCTCACCTCACGTCGAAAGAACTAAAGTGAATCAAGACTTCTTCCACATCGCTTGAATGCCTCATATACTTACTCACTTTGCCGACTAAGTTGATTCGTTAGTGAGACCTACGTGGGCCATGTACTCGTATTCACTCATCCACAAGTTGTCACCACTGATACTCCTCTGTCGTGTTTCAAAAATTATCAACCCATTACTGTGTTGACTCCTCCTTTCATGAAAAATCATCTCGAAATTTATCTCTTAAATCACAAGGACAGACGCTGGTTGCTACATCATTCTGTATATTTCTTTGCACGTCAGGTTCATGTACTAAATGCAGTATACGTGCATTATAATATGAAACCAATGATAAACAAAGTGTATAAAGTTAGAAGAAACAGGTTCTCTTCCTGCACAAGGCACAACTCTTGATGCCTTTGAGGAGTCGTGGTCAATTATGTCAACAAACACCCACAGCAACGCCCTCTGATGGTGTGTCCGAGCTTCTGGCAGACACAGGTGTTAGCTTAGGTTTTTTTATGTGGAGTTTTTCTTTTATTGTCTGCATCATATTTCTGAGAGTTCCGGTAATTGTTGGTTGTTTATATTGTAAATATGTTATAGCAGCTTTTGAGGAGCTACTATACAAGACAGGAATTTATATCGTAGCATTTACTATTATTAATAAGCTGTGAATGTTGCTTATAATTCCAGTGTTATAGTACAGTACACCTACATTTATAGGGTCGCATTATCTGATGAAAATAGTCTGTTTTGTCGCTTATTTTGGTTTACACACTTCTTAAAATTAAAAAAAAAATATATAACTAATATGAAAATATGTTTAGTAATCATAGATAAATGACCGCCTGAGGTTATGGCCACTCTTACCATGATGCTGTGTCAACAATTGTTTTCCGATCTTTACCAAATTTTCGAATCCAGGAAAAAAGAGTCACAGGAAAAAAGTCACAGGAAAATAGTCACAGGAAAAAAGGCACTGATAAACCTAACCTAACCTACGTGGGCTTATATCACTAGGCGACCTACTGCACTGTACAGTATTGGAAAAATAATTGTGAATTATACAGTATAGCTTTTATACATTTATTTGCTCGGCAATATTTTTGTTGTATGTTGGCCATAAAATATTATGATTGTGATATTTATGTTAATATAGTTTGATGTATGAAGTAATTCGATAATTTTAGTAAGCTGATCATTAATTTTGTAAACGATTGATCTACTGAGACCTTTACCTGCTCATTATATTCACGCTCAGGTATTTTTTTATAAATATACACAAACTGATAAGTGCCTTCCTACTTCTATTAAAGTTAAATGTCCATTAGAACCTTGGAATGTTTTTTTTTTATTGCTGCTGTTCCGTTCAAATTTAATTTTGAGTGTTCCAAGTAACTGTTGAATGTTCCCTAAAGTACAGATTGCTTATGTTGAATAATCTTGCTGTATACTGTTACATGTTTGCTCGGGTTGCTGCGAATATCATATTTGAATTGTTTCAGCTGACCGCTACCGCTACGTGTTGAAGCCGCTTAAGAGGCGAGTGAGAGTCCGTGAACCATATAATCCTGAACAAGACATGAAGGAAGACTACATCAATGCCACCGTGGTGAATGTGAGTACAGTACATACCTGTTTGTGTAGTCGGGGAAGATATAAAGACAAGATCACTATGTGGTATATGATAGAGACTAAACTACTGGATCAAGGGGCGGGGGAGCAGATTTGGGTAGACTGCGCCTCTGATAATGGAAGGAGATTCTTGTGAGAAACGACCCCTGAGTTTGTGAAGGAGTCGTGTTTCTTTGTTACGCTTCAGCCTCATGAAGTCAGTGAACAGTAGTGAAAGAAACTTCATTATGGCCAACAATCGGCAACAACCGACGGCTCTTTAAATGTGAGCTACCTATTCTGTAGCCATCTTTTGTTAAACAGCTAAATGTATACAAGTATTTTCATTTTGCTTATCCAGGGTGTACTATGAGAGCCGTTTTGATCTTGATTAGATAATATATTGCCTCTCAGAGACCTCACTGCCAGGTGTACCTTCACTAGCTCATCACAATGTTCAAAGGAAATAGAATTTCACTTAAAACTTAAAACAAAATTCAAGGCTAAATCTAAAACGTACTTATCATGTATTTGGAAATCACATCTTAAAACCTGAACTCAAATAATGTTTAAATAACGGACACGAAACTTATGATAAACCTCAATAACAAAATTGCAAAATAATATGAAATTATTTCAAACGGGAAATACACCTCGGTGTTTCAGAATGGACATAAGAGCCATGGCACCGTAAGAGTTTGCGAGAAACTTTGAAAATTAGTTAGAGGAACATTTGACCAGCGACCCGGACACGCCTTATCCGGCGCTAACAATGATCACCCAAGTTTGTCTCACATACCTAGCGGGCGGAAGTATTGTCACAGATGATCTGCAGAAATAAGAAAATCTAACTTGGTGCTTAACTTAGAGGTATAATTTTTTTGAGTGATTTATATTTTGGAGGAACTAACAACGTTTTATAGACTGCAGTAAGCTTATGTAGTGTACTTGGGAATGGGTCATTAACTAAACTTTGCACGTTTTTTCATTCATATAATCCTTTCCCCTCTGTGATACCCCGGATTCTTAACATTGAGCAGTTAGTGGGCTACACTACTGCTTTGACAGGATGCTAGTTCACAATTAGTTCTTTCACGGTCGGGTATATAATTATATAATCCATCACCATTCGCTTGTAGTCCGGCAGCCCTGAAAAGTTTGCCATGATAGGTTTACTTGCATTTAATGGTAGGTAAGGATCCCTAGGGTGTGGTGTTTTCACCCTGGAGCATTTCGACAAATCTAAGACAATATATTACTTGCATATATCTCTCCACTTGTATAATTGACACCACATTTAAACCACCAAATTATATTTGTTGAGTAAGGTTGTTGTATTTTTGTCATAAGCAATTAATGAAAACCTTTTTTAAGGGCCTTACGTTGTGTAGGATAACTAATAAACCCTCAGTAGTTTGTGGTATAACCGTTATATCTCCGAAAGGTATCTGTCCACATTGTGACCACGGATGATAGATATTGGGTCCTGCCCTGTAGAGTTTAACATAAGTAATGCAATTTGTACATTATTTATTTCTGCGTAATTAATGTGGTGTTCGGTTTATGGCGTAATGCACAGTAAGGCATTGCGTTATGCATAGAGGAATATTTTTATGCTCGTTACCCTCCCCTTCCGGGTGGTGTTGGCGTTGACGTCGGGATGTATGCATGTAAAATATTTTGTATAATTATTTGTGAGCAAAACTGGTATTTGATTCCCCCAAATTGCCCTAAAATGTATGCATGTATGTTTAACTATTTTTGCAGCTTAATGTAGTTGTTGAGCTTCTCGGTTCCGTTGTTCTGTCTGTTGCTCTTTCTGTTGATCATGCTGTTTCTGTTGTTTTTGCTCCAATTCCTGTTGCTCTTGATGCTGCATCTGTTGTCCTTGATGTTGCATCTGTTGCTCTTGTTCCAGCTCCTGTTGCTCTTGATGCTGCATCTGTTGCTCTTGTTCCAGCTCCCGTTGCTCTTGTTCCAGCTCCCGTTGCTCTTGTTCCAGCTCCTGTTGCTCTTGATGCTGCATCTGTTGCTCTTGTTCCAGTTCCCGTTGCTCTTGTTCCAGCCCCTGTTGCTCTTGATGCTGCATCTGTTCTTTATGCTGCATCTGTTGTTTCTGTTCCATCTCCTGTTGGTCTCTTCTCTTGATCTCTTCCCACCGCTTCATCGCCTCTTGATATTCCTTTCTTATCACTTCTTGTTGTCTCTGTTTTATCCTTTCACATTCTTCGTCTCGCTGCCGCTGTATTTTATCCTGTTCTTTAAGTCGTTGCCGTCGCTCCATCTGCGACCTTTCCTTTACTACACGATATTTTCTCTCCTTTTATATATCTCGGTCTTATGTCATCACTCTTCCTGCAGAACGGGTTCCTCGAGTTCATACAGACGCCGCACCCAATGACCAACACTGTCGGCGCCTTCTGGAGGATGGTGAAGGACTCAGGCTCAAGCACCATTGTCATGATCATGCCCACCAAGGCTGACCAGGTGAGTGTGTTTGTATTCATCTTTGTTTTGTCTATCAAATATAATTTTTATATACACTTGTGGACAACAATTAACTGCAGTACATACATAATGTATCTATATCTGTTTGCGTGTGTCTCTTTGTCCAGTCGGTTGATTATGTTGATTATTCCCACAACTCATTAATCTCTCAAGCTATCTATCCTGTTTATATTGTTGTTCTCGCATCTAGTCATAAAGTGGTAATCAACATGAACTGTTGTATTGACAAGGGGAGTCCCCTCTCCCTGGCTACCTATCTATTTTGTGTTTGTAATTTATAGGTCCCCACTGCTATCTCATTACAGTACCCAACGTACACATTGGTATTGGCAGGTAAAATCCTTTCTCTCTCTCCTCTTTTTTCACTGTAGCATAAGTCAGAAGGGTGAGGCAGTGGTAGGAATGGGATTTTCTATCCTTGATTTCTACTTAGAGTTTAAATTCTACCTGGTTTATTTTATGCCCCTCTGGGTTTGGGCTTTGTAAATTTTTTGTTGTGAACAATCAGTAAATCAGTTATTTCATAGTTATAGACGTCAACGAGTGAGTGTAAAGGTGGGCCTGTGTCTTTGAGAGTAACGAGATTAATGTCACATGAGCGAGGCTTCCTGATCCGGCGCGGCAAGCACACATATTCATTTATACAGTACACATTGTTCCCCATGATTAGTGTGAACATGTAAGTAGCTCACACTTGTCTCATATTCCTTCTCTTTAGTAGCTGCTGCCCATCCTTATATCTCTCTACTTTCTTTCCATAAATAACATTGTACGTACTTTTAATCCCACTTACCTTCGGGGTGTAGAGATCAAGTAGATACAGTCTGCTCTTAATTTCTTTAGGGTCGCTGATTCGCTCCTACTCCACTCCACACAGCTGTGAGTGGGAACTTAACTTTACCGTTTGGGGAAGTGAAGGCGGTCCAATGCAGTGCTGGCCACGCTGCCTTCCTGTGTACCTAAGAAAAAGGCATAATCTACTGTGTGCTGTACGTACACTGTCAGGCAAACTGGAGCAACTTTCGCCTTACCTTACTGTTCTGTCGTGGCACTGATATTGGCTGTCTTTCTTCACAAGTGTTTTCTGTTGGTCGCCATCTGAATTATCCTGCTAAATGTCCACTTCTCTTTTAAAGTATTTTTTGCAAAGAGCCAAATAATTTCGTCATTGTTTGCGGTCTTGTCTTACATAATTCCAGTCAAACTTTGATTTTCGACTTCGTTTTTTCTTACGGTGCATCACAGGAATCTCAGAGGTATTGCCTTTACTTTTCGCATTATCTACTTGTTTGTGTTTGCCCGTTTCATTACTTCCTCGTCTCAATCTGTTGGTCCGTTCATGGTGCAGTATTCTCATTCTACCAATCGGTCCAAAATTACCGGTGTGCACTAAATACTATAGCTACAATACAAACAAAAAGAGGACCTTCACAGCTTCTTTTTTCCTCTCTTGATTTCTGTTCAACTGTCTACCTGTCTGTCTCCATATGTCTAACACTGTATCTCTCCGTTTTTCTTTTGTCTTTCATTAATAGTTTTTTAATTCCTTCCCTCTGCTCAATCCACTGTGCTAACTAAATATGGTATACATTTTTTCTTCATCAGAGGGAGTTCCCACGTTACTGGCCCCTGACCGGTGAAACCCACTTATACGACGCCAACACCTCCTCCCCTATATGGGTTGGGAACAGTCTCGAGGGTAAGTTCCAAGACTACCTGCACGAACAGCAGCAGATGGAGGAAGAAATGGAGCGACGGCGACGACTTAAAGAAGAACAGGATGAAATACAGCGGCAGCGAGATGAAGAATGTGAAAGGATAAAACAGAGACAACAAGAAGCGATAAGAAAGGAATATCAAGAGGCGATGAAGCGGTGGGAAGAGATCAAGAGAAGAGACCAACAGGAGATGGAACAGAAACAACAGATGCAGCATAAAGAACAGATGCAGCATCAAGAGCAACAGGGGCTGGAACAAGAGCAACGGGAGCTGGAACAAGAGCAACATATGCAGCATCAAGAGCAACAGGAGCTGGAACAAGAGCAACAGATTCAACATCAAGAGCAACAGGGGCTGAAACAATGGCAACTGATGCAGCATCAAGAGCAACGGGAGCTGGAACAATGGCAACAGATGCAACATCAAGAGCAACAGATGCAACACCAAGGACAACAGATGCAGCATCAAGAGCAACAGGGACTGGAACAATGGCAACAGATGCAGCATCAAGAGCAACGGGAGCTGGAACAATGGCAACAGATGCAACATCAAGAGCAACAGATGCAACATCAAGGACAACAGATGCAGCATCAAGAGCAACAGATGCAGCATCAAGAGCAACAGATGCAACATCAAGGACAACAGGTGCATCATCAAGAGCAACAGATGCAGCATCATGAACAACAGGAGCTGGAACAGGAGCAACAGATGCATCAAGAGCAACAGGAGCTGGAACAAGAGCAGCAGATGCAACATCAAGGACAACAGGTGCATCATCAAGAGCAACAGGAGCTGGAACAAGAACAACAGATGCAGCATCAAGAGAAACAGGATCTGGAACAAGAGCAACAGATGCATTATCAAGAGCAACAGGAGCTGGAACAAAAACAACGGAAACAGTATGATCAACAGAAAGAGAAAGAGCAACACCCAGAACAACGGAACCGAGAAGCTCAACAGAAGCATCATGAATGGTGGCGGCGGCGACTGTTACAACGGAAACGAGAACAACAACAACAACAGGAGCAGGAGCAGAGGGATTACCGCTGGGAAGACAGGGACCAACGGAAGTTCTGGAAACAACAGAAACAGCTACACGAGGATTTCTACGTCACAGATCTCGACTTTGAAGTGGTAAGGCTGCGCCGATGTTCTACTGACCATTGACAGCTGCGTATTATTATAGTCAGTACTGGTAGAAGCAACAGTAGTAGTAGTAGTGTTAGTAGCAGTAGTAGTAGTAATGGTGGTGGTAGAAGTAGGAGCAGTGGTATGTGTAGTAATAGTAGTAGGAGGAGAGGCAGTGGTATGTCAAGTAGTAGTAGTAGGAGTAGGAGTAACGCCAATAATAGAAAAAAACAGCAGTAGCAAATTCAATATTAGTAGTAGTGACAAGAGTAGGGTTAGTGATAGTAGAATTAGGAGTAGTAAGAGAATCAATTGTCATAGTAGTAAGCTAGTAACAATAGTAAACATTTGTGGCAAGTGAAGTAGTAGTGTTAAGAGTAATATGAGAACCTGTAGTAATAGCAGAGGTCTTAGTAGTAGTAGTAGTAGTTCACAACCTCTGGTGGGATGGGACCAAGTGCAAGATGCTTCTATACAATACTGGCCGAGGTGTTATCTGAACAGAAGCAGCAGCCCAGAAGTTACGTTGTAGCCTAGTTGAGATGTCGCCTGTCCTTCTCTCTGCTTAGGTCTGCATTGCTTTGCCTCAGGGGAATGAAATCTTCGGCCCCCCCAAAGCCGACAAGTAGCAGATATCGATTATGAGGCAACAGTCACTGAATGCCGCATAGATCTGCGACTTAACTAACTCAGTTAAGGGAGCTACTAATGTACTGTCATAGGATATTTAATATTAAGGTAATATAAATGGTGGCGGAGGTGTGGCTATTGGAGGAGGCTGGAGGCCACATTATTAAAAATAAAAGTAGTAGTAACAAATAGTAAGCTATTCTATTGTGATTGGCATTTAAATTTCAAGCAAAATAGATCATGAAGTCGTGTAAAATAACAAGTGTCCATTTTTTGTATGTTCTTCGTGCTGCAACTTAACGTATGTAATAATGAAGACTTTGCCTTGGCCGAAAGGTTCTCACAACGAAGAAACCACGAGAAGTTAACAGCTGATCTGTGATTAGTGTACTTAAGACAAAGACATTTTTAACATATTGTGTGAGAGAGACTCGTTTTCTTCATAGAACCAACACCGCTGTTTGTTAGGGTTCTGCGCCACCGAGAGACTGGCCTAGAGATAATAGGTACCGGTAGATGTATAAGCTGATCACCTTGACATACAGTCCAGTACATATGTTTATGATGAGTAAGAGGTCACTGTATCTTACAGTAATAATACGGTAATATGAAGACTTTTGAACTTTGTGCTTATTTATTAAAGATATATATACAGTGACTTATTTCGTCTGAAACATTTGTAATTCTGCTAATTTTAATTTTCCCTGTTGCTGTGTGTCCATTGTAGTGTGAAGTTACCCAGCGCCAGTAGCACTAGCGTTAATTGGACACCGAACACTTGTAGATGCCACACTCTTGACGACAGAAGCATTGTCGGGTATTAAGAGCAGCAGTTAGAGACACACATTAGCGTTATTAAACATACAGTAACAATATCAGAAGAAGCGAATCAGTAACGGCGTCAGGAGTTGAAGCTGAAGCAATAGTACTGTACTCGAGTAGCTAACAGGTGAAATACATGAAGCAGTAACATCTTAGTACATGTATGCAGTGTACCTTATATAAAGACTTCACCAAGAAGTTGCCATTAACAAGGTTTATTCTTCATTCTTCACCCATTCTTGAGCACTGTACTTTGTTCCTGTTTTGTCTCCCGATGCCCACCTGAAGACTCCTTGATAAATATCTTATGGAATGATGTTGAATGGATTGACCTTCAGATTTATAAGAACCTTAGATACTCAGTGTTCCTGTTTCTTCCAGAGTGCAACATATTCACCTGGGGTTCAGGGTCATGCCCTCCAATTAATATCTTGTGCCACTACACACTTCAGTAGATGATGCTAACTCGCCACAGACGACGCGAGGAAATCTGTCCACCGTTTTTTGAGAGTGACGCCAGAGTCTTATAAACTGTAAACAGAAATTGTCGACCCATTTTTAAATATTTTTTTCGTCCTTTTTTTTTTTTATAATGCACAGCTGTAATAAATATAACAGTATCAGTAGTAGAAACGTCGGTGGGAGAAACAGTCGCAGGAACATATTACAGACAAAATGCAAGAGGCACGATGGCTTTAGCTGTGTCTGCACAAGTAGTAGTAACAGGAGCAAGAACAACTACTAAGCCAAGTCATACTAATGAACCTCTCTTACAGTGTGGTTGTCGTCGTTGGATCCGTCACTACCATTTCCATGAGTTCCATAACAAGGCCAAAATGTACTCTGGTATGATCCTCCTCCTCCACTCCGTCCTCGTCCACCAGTACATAGTCAAAGGACCCATCATCATCCACTGTGCGTAAGTACAGTACTGAATTTGGTTTTTGAATATCACTCTTAAGCCCTCAGGTACACTTCAGGGGTCCGAAATCCTTCATGTGGGTTTAGGTCCTTCTCTTGTAGCCCTGTAATCCTTTTTGTTGTACTGTACTAAATCAAGCTTGTAAACTTGGCTTTAAGTTTAGCTAAAAAGCCCGTCTTGATTCCTGCTAGTAGGGTTTTGGTTTTCAGTTCTCTCTTAGTCTTGTTCTTGTAACAGTACAGTGGGCGGAGGAAGGCTTCTATGTACAGTACTTTGAGGTCAAAGGTACTAGTTCTAAATATTGAGCGTCAGTTGCCACATGGTGCTTTTCATGCACAGGTTCATAATGATGGCGCATTACATGTTGTCAGCACTCTTGTTAGTACAGTACAGTACAGCACTTAAGTAAATGGCAAAGATACTTGGCTCTGTGAATACACTACGGTTTGGTGGTATTGTGTAGTCTTTAAGAAACTACCAATAACGACCACATTAATCAGATTGAGGTATTTTAAAGGGAAATTTGTATTTTCAACGAATTTTTCGTATCTGAAAAATTCTGAGCGTAATGGGCTGCTTCGGCTACGACCCTGCTGTCCGTTTATGTTCATCTGGTCCCATTTAACACCTGTTATGTTGCCTCGATTAAACTAATTATTATTTGTGTCGGGAAACAGAACATGCAAACTCCATCTCTTGACCTTGAGAAACACTGCAGTACACATTTGAAAACGTACAACATTTTTTTGGGACAAGTTAATAGATACCGCGATTACAATACTCCATCTGTTGATGTCCTTAGCTGTGTCTCGAGTGCCAGGAAATAGGAAAATTTAGTCAAGACGAATGTTGTTTTAGCAAGAAATTCAGACAAAACAGATCTTGGCCCCTAAAAATTTCACCGTAATAAGTGTTAATATATTTCTTTGAACTTATTGATCGCCAGGATAGTGTTTATAAATACAATAAGTAATAGGATAATAATTACTATAGACTACGCGTGGGAAAAAAATATTCTCATTACCGTATTACAGTTGAGTGACCCAGAATAATACATCACACCTATATTGTTTACTCCTTTGGCACCCAGTGTAGCTTAGGGTGGGTGATGAGGTGCAGAAACCTCGGGGGATAAGAGGGAAGATTGGTGGATTACAGGCGTAGAAAGAGTGGGAAGGTACAGTAGGTAGAGCAATAATTAAAGTGATCCTCATATATTTGTTCTTGTAAAGTGTGTCACATACTTATTCTTATATTGAACAAGAATTATCCACACACACACACACACACACACACACACACACACATTTTTTCATGCTCTCGATTAAAAATATCCACACATACTTTAATGGTTCATGCCCCCTATTATAAATATCCACACACACAGTGCTTGTTATGTCCTCAACAAGAAGTATCCGCACATACATGCTAAAGAATTATCGAGTACATATATACTGTATATCCACATATTCTAGAGGGGTAATATCCACATGTATACTTTTCTAAAAATCCTCAACTCGAAATATCCGCACAAACTTGTTCATATCCTCATTTTCAAAACGACAACTAGTTTAAATTTTAGTTTACTTGTGTCGCATCTGAGAAATCCCAGTTCCCTTGTCGTGCCCGAGCTGGAATCCCCCAATTCCCATTCCCGTTCCTGGCATTGCGGCAGTGTTCCAGGGCCGGCGAGAGTGGAGGTGTGTTTAAGGAGGAGGTAGTTGGCCTAGTCTTCCTGACTTTAACCTTTGGATCATTTTATCTCATCTGTTTGTTAATTTTTTTTTCTTTTTTCTTTATTTGTCTTTTGGTCTTGGGTAATTATCTATGTTTGTCTGTCTTTCTTCTTTATATTTGTCTTTAAACTCTTGGGAAATTATCTGTGTCTCTTATTTATTCTTAATCCGTCTTTCCATTATTCATGTTTTCCTTATCTGTCTCTAATTATGTGTTTTTATTTAATCCTTGGCCCATTTACTTTATTTCTCTGTCTCTTAATACTTTATCTCTTTATGCAGTTCCATTTTTTTAATCCATTTATTTTCTTTATTGTCTCTTAGTTTTCCACTATTCTTAAGTTATTACATTATCATATCCTTCTTTATCTGTTTCCAATTTCTTTATCTTCATCTAAGTCTATTTTCTTCTTTGTCTTAATTGCCTTATCTATATGCCTTCTTTGTCGATCTCTCTGTCTCTTCTTTATCCTTTTCTTGCATTTCCTGGCTTTATGTTCTTCCATTTTCTTTTCTTCCTCATTGTAAATAGTTCTTTTTGTAATTTCTTTTTTTCTTTGTTTTAATTTCCTTGTTTATTTACGCCTGATTTTTTATTATATATTTACTTCTAATCCTTCAATTTTTTTTCTTTGGGTCATGTTTATCAATATGTGTTTTATTCTGTTTTTGTTCTGTGTGAGTGTCTAAAATGTCGAGTTATTCAAGAACAGGAAGGCCACTGTGTGTGTGTGTGTGGGTGTGTGTGTGGGGGTGTGTGTGTGTGTGTGTGTGTTAACCTCAGTCATATGGCAGTGTCGTATCTCGTAGTATTTTTTCTGTCTAGACATGTATTCTACACCTTGGCTTCTGTCCTCCGCCCTACCCATTGTCCTGTCGTGAACTCTGCCATCTGTCTGTCTGTTCTGAGATTTGTATTCGCTTTCTTGACCTTTCTGTAAGACATTCTCTCGCTCCATAGAACAGTCTCGCAGTCACATATTTTGTCAGCGGGGTATTGCCAGGCAGCAGTGTGGATCTGCCGTTGTGTACAGTACATCATAATTACCCTGACTCGCGCACTGTCGTTGGAGGCTCTTGACTTGGCATATTGTTCCTGGCGTTGTTAGTGGGTCATGACTTGCTTCTGTGCTAAGGGGATCTAGAAGGTGTTGCTGGATGCTAGGTTTAAGCTGAGAAGTGTTCCTGGATACCGAGAAGTTCTGAGAGATGGTCCTGGGTGTTGGGAGGTGTTCTCGTCTGTTAGGGAGAGAGCCTGAGGGTGTTCCTTGGTAGTACAGACAGAGAGACCTAGGAGGTATTTTTGGATGCTGTAGAGAGCTGGGGGGGTATTCTTGTATGTTAAGAGATGAGATATATTTTGGGATGTGTGGGAGGACTAGGAGGTAATCGTGGGTGCTGGGGGGAGCTGGGAAAACACACCGAGAGAATTATACGTGTTAACGGGCGGTGAACCACTGACGTAATGTATCATTGACCCTGACCTCTTTCATGCATACCATCATTGTCCTATCGTAGTATGTTTCTTTTTAATTGAACTCTGTCATATATCTTTGATTTTGTTCTACTTGTCTTGTATCGTCTCTGTTCAATAAGACTCCCACCTTCCATAGAACAAAACATTTATTCGAAGCCTTCGTTTCTTTTCTGTGTTGTCATTTATACATTATGGTATTCCCTTGTTGCATAGAACACTTATGACTTCATCTTTGTTCAGTCAAGATACTCTTTGTCCACTTCTATGTTCAGTCAAGATACTCTTTGTCCACTTCTATGTTCAGTCAAGATACTCTTTGTCCACTTCTATGTTCAGTCAAGATACTCTTTGTCCACTTCTATGTTCAGTCAAGATACTCTTTGTCCACTTCTATGTTCAGTCAAGATACTCTTTGTCCACTTCTATGTTCAGTCAAGATACTCTTTGTCCACTTCTATGTTCAGTCAAGATACTCTTTGTCCACTTCTATGTTCAGTCAAGCTACTCTTTGTCCACTTCTATGTTCAGTCAAGATACTCTTTGTCCACTTCTATGTTCAGTCAAGATACTCTTTGTCCACTTCTATGTTCAGTCAAGATCTTTGTCCACTTCTATGTTCAGTCAAGATACTCTTTGTCCACTTCTATGTTCAGTCAAGATACTCTTTGTCCACTTCTATGTTCAGTCAATATACTCTTTGTCCACTTCTATGTTCAGTCAAGATACTCTTTGTCCAGTTCTATGTTCAGTCAAGATACTCTTTGTCCACTTCTATGTTCAGTCAAGATACTCTTTGTCCACTTCTATGTTCAGTCAATATACTCTTTGTCCACTTCTATGTTCAGTCAAGATACTCTTTGTCCACTTCTATGTTCAGTCA